GTGTTCCCAGTTGAGATGAGCAAGGGGAGGGAGGGAGAGATATGGGCGACACGACACGACGGCCAGTCAACCCAGCCCATCCAATCCAGCATCCACCGTCGTGTGTTGCCTGCTGCAGTCATCATCACAATTACACAATCACACACAAGCACAGGTGCAAGCAAAAGGAATGAGCCACTGATATGTGTGTCACTGTCATGTGATATGACCACCACACCATTCACGTGCATGTGCACACGCACCCCCATCCCCCAACCAACATCATCACCCTCCATCACTTCCCCTCACCTCCCTCCTTTCGCTCTGCACTCCCACGTCGCACCACCACCATCACCACCATCACCATCACCGTGTCACTTCCCTCCTTTCCCCGCTTCCCACCACTCCACACAACTCAGCCCACCAACCAACCAACCAACCGCCAACGATCATCCTCACCTGTGCTTGATGCAGCCAGCCAGCCAGCCGATGTGTCACAGCGAGAGCCAAACAAGGGAACCGCAATCACATGCCACGGCCACCATCGTCATCACTGACGGAGCAGAAAGGGGAGATGAAGGGGGAAGAGTGGTGGGCACGGGCCGTGTGCTTCGTTGTCCTCATCGGTGCATCCCAAACACGGTGCACAGCGCACATGCACACGCACGGCCATCATCACAGCAGCACACCAGCAGCAGCGAGCTAGCCTGCCCTGCGTGCCTGTGAGGCAAGGAGAAACCAACCAGAGACGAACAACAATGACCGGTGGTGGTGAGAACACGAAAGGTGGGGCGCAAGGGACCACGCATGGGAACATGCAGCATGTTGTGGGCGGGGGTGCATCAGATACACACAAGAACAACGAAGCAAGCATCCAACAGGCAAGCAACCAACCAAGCAAGCACGGTAAGCAAGTATCACCACATCCACCACTGCTGCAATACCTGTGTTGCCGCCGTCTCGATCACGCCTCAACCGCTCCACATCACATGGGGAAGGCTGATGAAGATGATGATGACACAGAGCAAAGGCGATTGGTTGGAAAAAGGGGAAGGGGATTTGGTTGGGGAAACCCGAACACATCCGCCTGCAGCCACGCACACACGCACATTTGAGTTGTGTGATTGATTCATGTGAGACACATGTCAGTACCACCACCCCACAGCCAATGACTGCTCTGGTGTGTTAGCATGCATGTGTACATGCGTGTACATGCGTGTGAATGTGTGCTACCGCCCCATCACCCCATCACCGCACACACACACACACACAGCGGCAGCGTCTCACCTCGTGTCTTCTTCTCTGGCACATTTGTGTGTGTGCGTGTATCGCCCTGCTCATGTCATGAGGGCTTGGGAAGAGAACGGCCATCGTCCTGTGCAAATCACACACATGAACACATGCGCAAGCACAAACAACAAATCAGCAAGAATCACACCACGCAGTGAGCCAGCATGGCAGAAACAAACCACACCCACCTCCTTGTGCCACATTCACATCACCCACATCACCACCTGTGCACGCACATGTCACATCACCCCAAAGACACCATGACCACCACCACCACAAGCAGCACATATGCACATGCGTGTGCGTGCGCCACGTACATCCACCACAAACCACTCACCACCACCATCGTCGTCGTCACGCGAGGCAACGGCACATCGACGCACAATACACCCTGTGTGTGTGCGTGTGGAGAAAGAGGTGAGTTGTCACAGAATTAGGCTTTCAACGACAACCACACCCATTGCCACCACCACCAACAGACCCAACGACATCCAACCAGCACAATCACACACATACGACATGCTGATGTTCACACCCAGCACATCACACACCGCCCACGTCACCACCACCACCACCCATTCATCTCACCTCCACATCCATGGCCGCAGCCGCTGCTGTTGGTGACCCCAAGGATGACGATGACGAGGAGGAGATGGACAAGAGACAGAGGGCCAGTTCATCCACAATGCAGCCACACATCAGCTGTTTCTGGTGATGGTGGAAACGGTGAAAACAAACGGCCCCTTGCCACGCCGTGTCCTTTGCTCGCTCGCTCGGCTGCTTGGTTGGTCGGTTGGATGGAGACGAGATACATGGCCCTGTGCCCAAATCAATCGAAAAAGAGGGGGAAGAAGAAGAAACAGACACATGAGTGCGTAGAACGGACCAGGAAAGAGGGAGACGAAGAAGGAAACACAACGTGTCAACCAACACACACACACACACACACACACACACATCTCAGTCGCCCTCTCACCTTCATCACTCGTCATCGTCATCGTCGTTGGTTCCACCGCTTCATGTGCTTCCTCAACGCTGTGAATTGTGTGTGTGCATGCACAGAAGATGGGAGGATGCAGGGGCGGATGAGGTTGACAGCGAAGCATCATCAACCACACGCCAGCCCCATCCAACCACCACAACCACACGCACACATGTTGTCCCCACTCATCCCACCACCATGCACACACACGCACACACATTGCTCACCTCTTTTATCAGAGCGACTGACATGTGCATTGTCTGCCTCACGCCAGATTGGGGCTGGTGTTGGCCCGCGTGTGATGTCGGCTGTGCAGTCGATGGCGATGACGGTGGTGATGGTTACGGCCGAGCTGAGGTGGAAGAGAGAGAAAGGAGAGAGAAATGGGGAAGGGTTGAGGATGGATCGTTCATGGCGGCTGCTTTTCTCCTCCACTGATGTGGCCCTGGTGCCCATGCAACCATCACAAAACGACAAGACACAACGACATCATCACACACAAGACACAGGCATGGCATGTGAGCACAGCAGACGTGTTCACCTTCCTGCCCCCTCCTCTGCTTTACTCCACCTCACACACACACACACATATACACACACACCTGCACATGACTGCGTCGCTGTGGTTGGATGTGCCCACCATGACCATGGACGTGTGTGTCCACAGCTGCTCCTCCCAATCCATCATGTGTGCACCG